TGACCGTTACTTATGCTGCTACCGTTACTTGTTACTGTTACTCCCACAAGCGGTTACTGTTACTTTTACTATTGCTGTTGTTGTTTTAGTTGTTTCTGTTGTTTCCGCATTCGTTGTTGTTGGTATTTTCTTTGTTTGTGAGGAAAGCAGACGCAACAGCGACGACGCTTTCCCAAACGCTGAGCTAGCAGCATTTTGGATCACCTGCGGACTGTGAATTTTCCTTTTTGGAGCTTCCTTGTCCTGGTCCTGGTCTTGGTCCTGCTCCTTCTCCTTATCCTTCGCCTTCGTCTTCTTCCGTTTCTTGTGGGCTAACTGCTTGGCGTTTCGTGTAGCGGCATTTTAGGAGTATTTTGCTTTCAACGTAACCGTACTTCCTTTTCCTTCCTGTTTTAGCTTTTTTCGCAGTTCCTTTTTCGGTTTCTTATTCTTGCTCCTTGTTATAGCACTGCCTTTTCTCGTCGTTGTTGTTGTGGTTGTCGTTGCTTTGGCTGTTTTGTAAATGGACGTTTTGGTTGTTGTTGCTGGCTTTCTGGCTTGGCTTGGCTTAATTTTTGATATGTGTCGTGTTTGATTTGTTGTTTTTTACGATTTCACTTGTTAGTTTATGTTGCTGGGCCCTTGGCTTCGTTGTTTTATTAGTTATTTGAGTTTTAGTTAACTTCCTTGCCTCCTCTTATTGTATTATTTGTCTGTCCTTTTTGGGCCGTCTTTGCTCCTTCTGCTGCTGCTCTCCTTCTTCGTTCGCCTTTCCTTCTTCTTCTTCTTCGCCAGTCAGCTGTCATTGACATGTGCTCTCTTCATCTCTCGCTCGTTCTCGTTCTCGCTCTCCCTCTCTCTCTCTCCTTTTGAATGCGCTGGTATTTGCTCTCCCGCTCGCTCTCTCTTGGCATTTGGGGTGGCTCGCTCTCTGCCCCACTGACAACCGCTAAAGCCACAGAGAGCGAGAGAGCGCCGTGTGAATGGCCGCCCTCTTTGTTGGTGTTGTACAATGCAATAATATAATGTCCTATAATCGACGGCGTTTATCAATTTCTCCTGTCATCTCCACACAGGGAATCACTCACAAATCAAAAAACTAATTGTATTTTTAAATGATTCTACTCAAAATTGGGGGTACTTTAGTTGCTAATTTATTATTCTTTTGATTTTCACTCGCAGTCACTCTTTTTGCAGGTGTATGTGTATATGTGGGACATTAGGCGCGCGCCTTTTACCGTTATATCCGCTGTTAGGCGATGACTTCACCGCTTTTTTGTGGGCTATCTTTATGATTTCCACTGATTTTCCGGCACTTTCCGTGATTATTTTTTACACTGTCCGACACTTAGTGGTTAATATTATTATGGGAAATTGAAACAAAAAACCGAAATTCGTAATCGTGGACAGACTCGCGCAGCTACAAGTCTTCTTTTGCACAACTTTTACGCTCTGCCTTTTGTTACGCTGCTTCTTCCTTTTTCTTTGCCATTCTATTCTGACTCTCTTTATCCTCTCTCACTCACTCTCTCTCTTTCTCTCTCTCTGTCTCTCAAATGCTAGCCCATTCAGCTTTTGGGTTTTTTTTTAACGTGTGTTGTTGTTTTTTCGGGGTTGTTTTCTCTGTTTCGACAGCTGGCTACAAAAAAGTTGCCAAAGGCAAAAAGAAATTCAATTTCTCACGGTGCTCTCTCTCTCTCTCTCTCAGCTGTCAAGCTCTGCAACCCCTATAACTTACAGTTTTGTTGCCACTGGTTGACACTACAGTTTGAGAGGGATTACCCGCTCGTTGTTCTTGTTGTTTGTTTTGCTTGGCTTTTCCCAGCGGCACTTTCCAACACTATCTCTTGTGCGATGCCATGTGCTCTGCAGGCATTTTGCAACCCCCAACCTCTTGGAAAAAAATTCCCTAATTGGCCGCGTTGAGGCATTTCAAAGTGTTCTCATGTTTATATTTTCTCTTTTTAATGCATAATTAATGCGATAGAGCGCCAATTTGGTAGGGGAAAGGAAAAGGGGTTGAGAAATGGGGCTGGAACCCTTATTCAGTTAACAGCCAGGCATCCTGCGGCGACAGCTTGTCCTGACAGCCAAGGAGAGCGTTTAGGAAATGGAGTGAGGGTTACGTATGGAATATGGTTGGGTGGCACAGCCCACAAGGCCCCACCTCTGACCTTGACTGGTTACGGGTTGCCAAAATGTTAGGCCAAGGCCCAAAAGGGGTGGGAATTTCCCTTTTATTAAATAGACCAGAAAAGGTTCAACTCTTTAGAGGAGTTATGAGTTTTTTTAAAGATTTGATTTAGCGAAAAAATTGTCATATTAATATCAATAAAAATAAATTCAAAGCTTATAATCAAATTTCGCTACGATCTAATAATTTAATTAGAAACTGTAAGGCTATATAACCATCGGCTTCCCAAAGGTAGTTTCCTTTCTTGTTTAAATGTGATATTTGCCAGCACTTTACTACAAACATTTTATATTTAATTTACTTTCTAAAGTGGATTTAGCTATCATAAGTAATAGCATTAACATTGTTTTTATTTCATAAGCTTTTTTAATAAAACACTTTCACAGACAGTCGTGTGTTTGTATTGAATAATAGCTCGAGTAGGGAATTTTAATCTCAGTAAAGTATTATAAAACTATTTAAAAAATATTCTCCTGTTAGTAAAACAGTTTCAACTTAATTAGACTGCCAATCACAGAAGTCTCTCAGTCTCTCCATAGGAAATCCTTTCCTCATTCTTCATTAAGCCACAAGGATAATCAATCATAAGAACAAACTTCCTTAATGTTCACAGCTTTTGCCCAACCGTGAACTCATAACCAACACAATAGACCCCTCCTCGTTCGGTAATAGTTCTAATGAGGTAAACCCATTTTAAAGCCCTGCAACGACGACTAATTGAAGCATAAGTAACGAGCCTGTTAACGGTTTTGGCCAGGACACCCCAAACCCCATATATTTGGGAGGCTCAAAAGGGGTTGTTGCTACTATAGCAAGCGGCTTAAATACATTTCAGGGGTGGCTATGTGGCTCTTGTTCTTTTTTGGTCCACAAGGCCCCCGTTGGCTAGTTAACATCCACGTGTTTGTACATGAATTTAATCTCGGCGCAAACAAAGTAACAAGAATTCAATTTGTCACAGTGGTTGGACCGGGTTTCAGTTCCGGGTTTTGGCTTGGCAAAAGCCAGGACTCCATAGAGGAGGAAAGAAGGAGTAGAGGAGTTAAAGGCAGAGTTGGCCAAGGAACCAAAGGCAAACATTGCCTGGCAACGGTAGCCGAGAGAGATAAGCCCATGTGATCTAACCAAAAGGAGTTGGGAGTGTGTCGATTTTGCACAGAAAGAAATTTAGGCAGGTAACTAGAGAGTGAAGTTACCTAAATAATGTCACATATTTCAGGGTTTCTATATTGATTTTATAGAGAGATATCCTTGAGATATCCAAAGAGCAGTTACTTTAATAATTTCACATATTTCAAGGTTTCTATATTGATTTTATAGAGAGATATCCTTGAGATATCCAGAGAGTGAAGTTACTGTAATAATGTCACATATTTCAAGGTTTCTATATTGATTTTATATAAGATATCCTTGAAATATCCAGAGAGTAAAGTTACTTAAATAATGTCACATATTTCTAGGTTTCTATGTTGATTTTATAGAGAGATATCCTTGAAAAATTCAATTCTGGAAAGGTTGATTTAATTAATACAATATAAGCTTGATTTTTGTCTCAGAAAAATAAAGGATGATACCTTAGAGGTGTTCCTTAAGCTATCTATCCTTCGTAGACCTTTATCCTTTCTTTACTATAATGTAATCTCTCCATATTTTCCGCAGTGTCCTTTTGGGCCTGCAAATATTTGCATTTCGCTTGTTTTTTGGGGTGTTGCGTTAGGGCAAAGCCAAAAGCCTCCAGGGACTTGTTAATGCAAACAATGCGCATTTGATATTGAAAGCATTGGCAAAGTGGGAGAAAAAGGGAGTCCACAGTACAGCACACAGTGTAGACCGTGTCCTTCGTCCTTATTGGGGGTAGTTTAATGCTGGCAGACTGAGAGCGAAGCTGGCAAAGCTCAACTCCGCTTGCAACCGCACGAACTCCAACGCAGGTCTGCATTAATGTGTATTTCCGGGTAGACGAAGGATATATATGTATATATATATATATATATGGGGTGTAACATGGGTGCTCCGGAAGTTGATTTATGTTTTGCGTACGACATACACACAGAGACTCTATGGGTGCCAGGCCATAAGAGATCCAACATTGTCATGGGGACACACAAAAAAAAGTATTTTATTTATTTAAAACAAAAAACTCTTTGTTTTAAATAAGGTTTGTTAGATAATTATATAGCTTTTTTAAATACTTTTAAGTTTATATTTCTAATAAGGAAATGATGGAAATTACATTGAAACCAACACAAAAGGAGGCTATAAGATCTTTTAAACGAAAAGAGATTTTAATAGATTTTATTCCTTACTGTTTGACACAATTTTCTATTGTTTTTACATCCAAAATACAATTTAAACCCGGTAAAAAAGTTTGTTACCAAATATTAGAACTTAAAATTGAATCTAAAATATTTTGTTACCTTACTTTTGTTCAACTTTTTAAATTGATTTCAATTCAAAAATACAATTTACATTTAAGTATATATTTTTAAATGAAATAAACCATTTTTCTATAGGTTTTTTCGCTTCAGCTGGTGACAACTTCGCTGTGTGGCTTGTCGGTCCAGTAAATGTTGTAGATTTTGGGCCACAGCTGTTCGGGGGAATTTCCCTCAAACCATATTTATATATATATTGCACTCCTGCAACATCCCCTGGCATTGTCATGGAAATCCCTGGCCTAACCGCTTTTTAAACTGCCTTCTAATGATGCGGCCTTTGTCTAGGATAAAGTCTCGCTCCTGTTTTAATTTTTCTACTCCCCACACCAAGGATATAGATAAGGGATAAGGGGGATATATGTACATATAGACTGGCTTTAATGGCTTACCTTATCTTCAGCTTCCTCGGCGCGTTCTTCCGCTTCGATGACGCGCTGCTCCAACTCCGTTAACTGCAAGTGGAAAAGAGCGAATGGAAAACCTCGGGTTAGAACTCTGGGAAATCATGTGAAAAATAAAAGTCTGGCATCGACAGCTAATAAACAATATTTCTTTTGCAAATCAGAAATAATTTTAATTGGCTATCTCAAGTGTTAATTATATGACTTTCGCATGACTAAATATTAACTAAAGGGGGTTTTATACTAGATTAGGGTAGGTTTTTAGGGCTATTAAACTCTTTGTTATATGGCTTAATTTTGGGGGGGGGGGTTATAGATTAATCGTTGGAGTACTGAAATTTCTTACAAGGTAATGCAAAGCTATAGTAAAAATTGTTTCCCCCACTGCTGTGTGATTTTGTTTGTTACCCCAAACATTTTATTGCTTACTTTAAGACATCCATTTATGAAATTCAAAAACTGTAGTTAGATAAATGATACCCTATAATTTGAATCAATTGATAACGTGAACGAAGAGTTTAATATACCTTTCCAGGGTATTTTTCTTTCATCCAGAAGCTCGAAGAGCAGTGGAAGGAATCATTTCCGACCCTATAAATCATATATATTCTTGATCAGCATCAACAGGCGGAAATTTCTAGCCATCTCCAAACGAAATAAAAAAATTTTAAATTTTTTCCAAATTTTAAACTCGTTAAAACTATCATAAAAAAATCGACAAAAATCAAGAATTTTAAAAATATTAAATGGAGTATGCAGATTTGTTAACGTTCAAAAAACTTACACAGAACTGCTATCCGAATTAAAATTAATGCATTTTTGATTTAGTTATGCAATTTTTAAACTGCGATTTTTACTAAAAAAAAAATTTAATTTAATTATTGATTTTAAGAATCAAGCTGAGGGTTTCATAGGATTTATCGGTGAAGGAGTCATTTCCGGCCCCATAAATCATATATATTCTTGATCAGCATCAACAGCTGAATCGATCTAGATAAGTTCTGGAGAAAAAAAATTTTGACAATTTTTTCAAAATTTTATAAGGGGTAACATCATTAAAATTAAAATAAAAAAATCGATAAAAATGTTGATTTTTTTAAATATTAAATTGAGTATGCAGGTTTATTAATCTAATAAAAACTAACTTAGAAACGCTTTCCGAATTAAAATTAATGCATTTTGGCTAAGTTATGATCGATTTTATACACGGCTCCTGGTTAAAGAATGACCTTTCTGAAGTAAGACTTCTTTTTTGTTATATTAAAAAAAAAATTATGAAATAATGTTAATTATTTATATAATAACTCTAGATTAAAAAAACTTTAAACTTTAAATTATGAAATAATGTTAATTATTTATATAATAACTTTAGATTAAAAAAAACTTTAAACTTAGTTTAACTGTTAAGAAGTTTATATTAAGTTTTTTTTAATGGTTTTTGTGGTTATTTATTTTGACATGGGTTCTACACACTTTTGACATGCTTGGTAAATTTAGCTGGTACACCTAACCAATGCTCCTACTCACCACCACTTTAGTCTAGACACATACCCCACACAAAAAGGACTTCCCATTATTTTTAAGGATTTAACTGTGGTGAATTTCATGGACACTGCCCACAGGTGGCGCCGGCAGTGACTTTTTGGCATCGAAAAAAACTTGAAGAAAATTTAAAAGGAAAATTTTAAAAAGCAAGAAAACGAGTAGGAAAATACCCGAAAAACAGCTATAATTTGATATGGAAACTCCAAGCAGTCATCGAAGCATCAATCATTGGCAAATGACACACAATTTAGCAAAGAATATAGATGATGCGCAACCATTTTTGGCTTAAAATTATTGGTTAACTTTGTATTTATTTATTTTTGTATTATTTTTGTTTGCACCTGCTTTGAAAATTTGCCAGACTACGCGCTGCCATTAAGGTAATCATCTGGCGCGCATTTTCCACTTTCCCGCAATGATGGCCTGCCATTAGGCCAGGCTAAAGATAAAGGCCAAGGTAGCAGGAGGCTTTTCTCACCAATTAATCATTTCGAAATAGCGGAAAAGGAGCAGGAAAGGAGATGAGCTAAAGCCTGCCTGGTTTAAGCCGCCACTTGATTCCGCCTATATATATATATATATATATTTTTTTTTTTTTGAATGCCTTAAGTGCATTAATTTCCGCTTTTTATGCCATTCAAGTGGCCACTCAGCAAGGCGGCAAAGCCAGGAGAGAAGGAACGAAGGCGAAGGCCATTGATGGATGCCTGTCAAATTGTTGTGCCTGCCGGAAAATATGAAGGAAGGATGCTGCTTGAGTTTTCCTGTTTTTTTCCTTGCAAATCGATGATGAATGGAAAGGACTAGTAGGAGCTGGAGGAGAGTTGGAGGAGGAGGTGCTGTAGGAGTACTCCTGGTTAGCCAGGAGAAGCTTTCCATATGAAACTGGAAACCTGAATCTAGCTCTTATTTTCACCCCTTTCATTAAATAAATAATTTGAAACTAGCCCTAAACTCTTTTCGATTTTGTTAAGGACTCTTCCAAAGGACTTGCCTTGATTTTAATCCCTATAATACTGCATGTAGCAGTTAATTAAGAACCAGAGCAGAAGGTATTCACAACCTTACGATTTTATTTAAGGAAAAGAGCTTGTATTACTTGCGTTGATATTAATACTCATCATATAATAAAATAAAATAAAGTGTTTAAATTTTCAAGAAAAATAGAAAAAATAAACCAATAAAATAAATAATCAAATAAGGAACATAACAAAGAGTTGGATTCGGTAGAGTTATACTTTAACGGACTTAATAACTTTGACTTTCTCTACTCCAAAATCCAAAATAAAATGTCCATGAACCATATAAACGTTTGAAATTCTACAGTGGACATGGACATATCTCATGGGAACCTGCTTCAACGATTTGTTCACCTGTCCAGTGAAGAGAAAAAGCGACAATATACTTCATAATAATGTTAATATTAAAACAACGACCATCAAACGGTTGATTCCCAAAAGATGCTTCAAAGTAAGAAAACAAAATAATACCCGATTGATCAATGTGGACAAGGTCCTGAAAATATATATGTCATAATAATTGAACATTAAATTAAAAACAAAACAAAAAACATTTCAAGAATAAAATTTTCGAGAACAATACAAAACAAAAGTAGGACTGATTCGGTCAGATGCCAAGGACCGAATGAAAAACTAGGGCAAGCATGTAACCTTTTTATAGCTTACTTATTGGGGTTTTCATATAATACTCTAAAAAATCCGAATTCAAATTATTTGGAAATTTGTCAAATGCTATAAAGGAATAAAGGTCACATTTGGCTTACAAGGAAAGGGTCACATTTTTTATTTGAAAAAAAAAATTATGGCAATTTATCTAGAACAAAACGGTTACTTTTTTATTTGAAGAGGTTTACAATTTTATCATTTCAATATTTTGTGATTTTATTTATGAATGATATAAGCAAGCAATCATTGTCAAACTTCGGAAATATATTCAAAAGGTTTTGTTGCAAATTATACACAAATTTGTTTTATAAGCTAATTATTGATATTATATTTATTCTCAATACAATACTATTATTTAAGTGTTATCCGCAATTGATTTCTTAATTTGTTTCTTTGTTTAAAAAATAGTTTGTTATTTTCAGAATATACTGTTCAAATTTTCGTCTTTTTTTTTTGTTTTTAACCTGACTTTAGCTTGAGTTTTCTTTTGTTTTCCTTTAGTTTAGAAGTTTAGAAGGTGGGGGAACTTGGCCAAAACTAATGGATTACATGAAAAGCTGGCTAGAAGAAAGTTTAGGCTCGACTTGGTTGCGTGCGTGCTGGACTTTGTCCCTTTTGGCCCTTCCCCATCACTGGTTACACCTGTTTAATCATAGGCGTTTTTCTTTCGCCTGCCAATTGGCGAGTTAATTGGAAGGAAACTGCCTAGGCTTTAAGCAGAAAACATTTGCCATTAATTGCTGTAGTAGGAGAAAAGCAACAATAGGAAAGCAAAAGCAGAAAACAGACACTTTGCAGACCTCAGAGAAAGAGAGAGAGAGACTGCAGAACTTTTACAACTTTGTCGTCAGTCGTTTGCAACAGAGTTGCAACAAACAGTGGCAAAATCACCGCGAGAATAGCGCTTGGAAAATGCTGTGTAATTTTCCAAGCCACGAATGCAATTCCCGCAAACAAATGGCTCACACACAATGCCTTTGCCTTCCTTTTATTCCTCTTTTTTTTGGCCAAAGGAGGTGACTTTGGCCATTAGTCGGTTTTAGGTGTCGTTGGTGCTCTGCTGCTGTTGCTGCTGTGTTTCTACTCCAAAGTTGTGCGGGGAATGTCGCACTAAAAGTTGTCCTTCCACCCGATTACCAGGATATGGGGTTAAAATGCACGGCGATCTTGATATGGTGGAGGATATAGATGGTGAAAGAGGAGCTAGAGGAGCAGGAGAAGCAGGAGCAGGAGCCAGGGCAGGAGGAAGACCAGGTGAAGGAAAAGAAGCAGGACCAGGACCAGGACCATGAGGAGGAGAAGAAGGATCCCTCCACATATTCCCCGTTTAAAAGCAGCTTTGCTCTCCTTTTGAATTCGATTTGTATTACTTTTACGTGGAAATATCTCTAAAATATGATAATAAGCTTTGTTAAGGCTTTAAAAAAGTCTAAAAATATATGTTTTTATATATAACTAAAACGATATAAATTATAAAGAATCATTTAAATAGTCTATCTTATCTATATAGACTCAATTAAGTCAATACTTCAATTCCAAAGACACTTTCTAAGCTACCTATTAAAAGTATTCCATTTAATTAACTTGAACAACAATTTAGCTTATAAACCACTTGAAAAATTCCCAGTAGAAAACCCCCTTTTTGTATATTTCATTTAAACCTAAATAAATGAAAGCAACATATGTACCATTTTCTGTAATATGATTTATTGGCAACACAAAGCTTAGCAAAGGCTTAAATAATTTTATTTGAGACAAGCAAACATGGCTGGTAATCAAGTAATTCTAAACCAATTTATACTATCACATTCACAGCCTTTG